TGACAGAGAGTGGCATCAATAATCCCAGTCCTAGACCATCACCAACCTCCAGGCTGTATGCAAAAGGGCTAAAAATAACACTGAAGAGTGAGTGGTTGGGAGAAGATTGTCCATCTTATAGGAGGAAGAAAAAAAGGATATTTTCCTCCCCCCCAAAAACATAAGCCAACTTTGGGAAGCTTCAAGAGAATGAGTGGAAGAGTTTGCAATTGAGATGCACTGAGCAGATAGTGAGGGTCTGGAGATTCTCCTGACTCAGGCCTGGAGTTGTCTGAGACTCAGACATTGTGTCTAGCTGTCCTGAAGGCTGCCAGGGAGCTGGCTTCACTGTATGTGGATATAAATGAAATGCTTAAATACAAACGTAATTTATGAAGTTTGCTTTACACTCGGATACTCATATCCAGTCATTTAGTTAAAGCCTTTGGCTTTGATTAAAGTTTTTAACATTTGAAGTATTGACTGATGTAGCTTCCCTGGTGAGGGAAATGGATATTTTTCTCATTTATTAATGTCCTATAGTGAAGGCATAACCTTTTACTTAAAATAATTGGTTTGGAGATGGAATTATAACATTCTCCCCCTGCAATTTGCGGATTTGCGGATGATTCTTCTTGGTTATCAGCATAAGTTACCATTTGTTTTTATCCAATATGTATACATACACACACACACACACACACACACACACACACACTACAAAAAAGACTTATATAAAGTAAATTTTATAGTCATTATAGCAATGAGGGAAGAGTGGATAGGAATGTGAGTTTATGATGCTGATCATAAGGTAAAAATAGCAAAGCCAAGTAGTGAGTCTAAATTTGGTACTGATAGGCCCATATTTCTACAGCATTTAAGCAAATGAAGTTACACAATTACAGATTTAACACAAAATTAAAATTAGAATGTTTCCTTTGAAAATTTCTTAGTGCGTCTTCAAGTGATTATCTTATCACAATATTTCCCCTGGAAAGGTAGAAATTAAATCAACAATATTGCAAAAGAGAAAAAAACCATGGCAGTCCTAAACAGGAGAGTGATGCAGATATGGTTTCAGCAGCTATTAGGCAGGGAGCAAATGATCTTCTAATCAATTTACTGTTGCAAAATAAGTCCAAATGATTTTCATGGGACACATGGATATCACTGCTGAAATTATTTTATTTGTTTCTACCCAAAGGTATTTAAAACATAGCCAATCACCCCAGTAAGATTTTCAAAGCTATTTTTGTTCTTAGGAGTAGGGATTTAAGCTCCCAGTGAGGCCTGCATTTTATTTTGTTTGTTCAATGTGTACATTTATTATGATCGATGCCATAGGATATCATAAGCTTAATCTATAATAGAATTGTTCCCTTGGTAAATCCACTGGGGAGAAATTAATGATATGTACACTGAGATGAACAAATTAGCAAATTGGACACTGTTCCAATGTACTTGGTCTTAGCAAAATTCCCTTAGTAGGTACACAGAGGTAAAGTAAATTAGCATTGTTTTTCATAATTGCAATATGTTTTAAATGTAGAAAATGGATAATTTCATGGGGACTTAATAATTATCCATACATATTTCATACAGGTAATATGTAATTCTTTTATCTAAAATCCCCAGGCAGGGCTGTTGAGGTTGTCAACAGTAGAAACTGCTGTGCAAACGTGGTAATACTAGAGGCAAGGCCAGAAAAACCAGATTTAAAAATATTGACGTACTTACGCACTGTTAATTTGCTTTTCATTCTCTTAGCAAGCCTTTGCTGAGGACTATAATTCAAACTACAGTTTCACCAGCTAGCATCTGCAAAGGGAACAATTTGCCTGACAATCTCTCCCAACATATCAATAGTTTCACAATAAAATATCATGCAAAAGCTATGCTAATGATGTTATTAATGACAATGGCAGACACAGGGGCAAAACAGAGATATTGATAAAAACATCAGTTTCTGAATATAAAGCATGGATTAGGGAACAAAGGAAATAGTTATTGGCATAAAGGACATCCTCTAGGTTTAGATGCATGGGGGCCTGTAAAATTGACAATACCTGATGTCTTAAAAGTTTCCCTGTGCTTTATTCCCCCTGCTGACAATGGTGGTTTTAAGAAATGAGATTTCTAATACTCTCCCTAACCCTTATACTTGGGTAGCTTTGTGTCCCTTATTAGGTTACTCAAATAATCTTGTTTTTCCAAAGGCAATAATGTACTCCACCAAGAAAAAAAGATCTTTGGACACTTTTTGAAAGATTACAATTTCAAACATATCTGTGCTTGTTAAGTCACAACTTTGTATAATTTTCACTTCATCCTGAAAATACTTTGAGGTAGCTTATTATGCCACTGAGACGGTATTATTCACTATCAAGTGTAACACCAGGTGAAACTGGAAGCTTAATCAATACTGTGTAGTGATGCTGCAGTTACCTGCAATCATATCAGCAGTCATCCTCCTCATCCTTCATCCTCTTTCCCTCCACCAGCAGACCTCGGTATCAAAGCCAGTCTACACTCGCCCTTCTCTCTTCAGTTTACACAGAATAACAGTTATTGGAGTCACTTGGTGTCCTTCAAACTAGCCAGTCAACACCAAATTCAAGGTGTGAATTTCCCAAATTAGCTTTGCTCTAATTCAAGGTGACTGTAATTTCCCTTCAACCTAAAACACAACAAATGATGGGTACTTACTATAGAATTACAAGGCCCATCTATTATACAAAATGCTTTCTTATATGTGGATGCCTTCCCTCATTAGTTGGGACAAATAAAAGTCTTGACTCTGAGACCAGTCAAAAGCTTTGTAAGCCAACAACCCCAAGCCACCCAAAGTACGACTCTTACAGCAGCTCTCATGGATACAAACATTTTGTTCTCTGACTTCCCAGTACTAAACAGCATTTGTCCATAAGCGGTATATCTCCTAAGATAAATGACTTGCAAAGCCTCCTCATCAAGAGTGCAAACTTGCCTGTAAAGATGTCACAAGGAAATTTAAGTTTTAACAATTTATTTTAAGGCCAATAAATTAATTTAAATGAAACAAGGAGAAAGACTGGTGTTAGATACAGATGCTATACTCTAGGCTGGAGAGATTCAGTCTCAAGGTCTCAGTCACAGTGACCTTGCTTTCTGATTCTGATACAACGCTTGTGATGGGCACTTCTGCTCTCCAGATCAAAGTCAGATTGTGTTACAGGAAATGCAGCTAAAGGGAAAACCCTTAAAGAGACAGTCCCAACTCAGGGCTGGCTGGCCCTGTGGATGGTGGTGGATCAGTCTCTCACCCTGGTGGTAAACCTCTGATACCAATGACCCTGCAGTCATTGTAGCTGTCCATAATGCCTAGCCACAGGGACTGACCATGGGCCTCTGGTCCACTGGTATCTCCAGCATTGAGGAAGGTTTGGGTCCAAAACACTATTCTCAGCATTTGGATTTTGAGAGAATATAGACTTGCTTCAATGATACTTGCTTCATACTTGACATTTTATAGTCAAGTCCTATTGGAACCCATTTTTTTTTAAATGAGGGATTGCTACTAAAGCCTGTTAGGCGAGTGACTCCTGTGTTATCTATCATGTCTGTTCTTCAGTGGGGAGCAACATTATTCAGAAGATGCTCCGTAGAGATATTTTTCAATTATATTGTTGGCTAGAATGCAACTTAATTGGAAGGATGCTTGTTTGATCTATGGAAGGTACCCCTTTAACAAGTGGCTAAGAGTAGCAGTTAAGATGAGTATTGAGTTCTCAGTGGAGAACTGAAACCTGCTTGATGCAGCCAAAAGACTAAGAGCAAAATTAACCAGAGGCTTTTAGTTAGTAAGTTTCTTCTGACATAATGATCGCTTTTGTGAGGGATGAGCACAGAAAGCTAAGAAAAGATGGCAAATTAGGAGGAGCAAAGAATTTATCCATTGAAAGTGCTTTTTAGTGTGTGTGTGTGTGTGTGTGTGTGTGTGTGTGTGTGTTTTAGATTAAAGAACAGTTTTTATGAGATGTTCCAGTAAAGGTATTATTTTTAGGACATTTAAAAGCAAAAAATAACCAGTCACTACTAATGGCCATCACTTAACATAGTTAGTGACGTGTATTATGTAGAGACCAGACTTTTGGAGACAAAGTGGCATAGAGAGTAGAACAGAGCACTTTTGAACCAGCAGAAATTCACCTGCTTGACTTCTCACCTTCTGAATATGTTTTTAGTTATTAGACTATAGAGCTTAAATCTAATAAATCCTTTAAAAGAGTAAATGATTTCACATTCACTTTAAAGAAGAAATGTTTGTGATTCTAAATGTAATGCAAAGACATGATCATTATACAATATCTTTTTAAAAAATCTCTGTCATCCCTTTATGCTATTAGAAGTGAAACTGTAGTAAAAAAATGAGAGAAGTGTCAGTAACAAAAATATCTGTGCACATTCAGGCGATCTCTTTGGACTCAAATACATGGCAACATATGCTGGCCAATTTTTATAGAAACCCTCTGCCATGTGTCTGAATACAGAATTAGATATAAGCTGTGGAAAATAAAATTTTGATATTACAGCAGCCTACTTAGTAAGAACAAAAGCAGTCTCTTATAATGCAATTAAGGAGTAGAGTCAAAGAATCATAATATACAACTAAAAATTACAACTTTCCTCTTTAGCAATAAATTTGAGCAAAGATCAAAATAGGAGATAATTTGTTATCACATCCATACCCTAAACTGACAAAATTTCCTACATTGGAAAATCCAAAAGTGCTTGGAAAGTTTTTTTTAGATAATACAAAACACCCTGAGAGTCCTTTTAGTTCCCACCTCAAAACTGCAAAAGACCGTGCCTGTGGAGCTTGACTGGAGCCAAGAGAGATGTATATTTAAAACCAGAAGGCATGTCTGTAAATCCTTGGATGTCTGAACATTTATAAAGAAAGAAAAAAATTACTCGGGTGCAATAAGAACTTCATTTATCAAGGGTTGAATGACTAAGGCATCTTTAAGAGACCAACTTACATTAATAAGCTCAACATCCCAGATTTTTTTCAACAGGTCCATCGATGTGTAGCCATTGATTAGAAAGGCTTTGGTGTAGTCACCTAGTTCGATGGAATCCAGCCACTCAGCGACAGAGGTGGGATGGTAGCCATCATGGCCAATGGGTCTCATCTGCAATTAAGAAACATGAATTAAGATTAATTTAATCTGTATACTTTGTGTCCCCCAAATAGAATGCCTATTGCCACCTGGAAATTTATCTGATAGGAAGCAAGCGATTTTTCTGGGTAAGGGGATGAAGAAAACGGAAACATTTTATGCACAATTTTAATTCACTCATAATCTTCACGCTGAATTCATTTTAAAAAACGTACCCCACGCTTTCCCCAATTTAGCTGCTACATCACCTCCATATTTGAATGAACTAAATATGTCAAACTTCTGTGATAGACATTATTGGCATTCTGTCGGATGGACTTTCAAGTGATGTCAGTCATGCAACATTAAATGCAATGCTGAAGGCAAAAGGGATCGCATTCCCAAAGTGTAGATGATACTTCTCATATGTACAACATCAAAGCATGTGAAAATACTGTATGACTTGCCTTAAACATCCAAAGGAATTTATCTGTATGCAAGACATGTGGTAGCCGAAACCAGTTTGGCTCAGTGGATAGAGAGTCAGCCTGCAGACTGAAAGGTCCCAGTTTCAATTCCGGTCAAGAGCATGTACCTTGGTTGCAGGTACATCCCCAGTAGGGGGTGTGCAAGAGGCAGCTGATCGATGATGATCTCTCATCATCGATGTTTCTAACTCTGTAACCCTCTTTCTTTCTCTCTGTAAAAAATCAAGACAATATATATATAAAAAGACATGTGAGGTAGGCATTGCAAATGTACTGGAGAAAAGGCTTTTGAGTGTTTAAAGACCACGTGTTCTATGTTGACTTCACAATATGTCAAACATGAACAGAAAACTTGCTGGCAGATAGGTTTCTATTTTTCATCAGCTATATACAGATTTAATTAAATTAATTATTATTATTTTTTTTTACTTTAGGCTAGGAGAACAAAGAAGTGTGACAACAGCATAACATTTCTGACTTTCAATTAGAATGTGAAAATAATTTCCACAAGAGACACTTCTGGGTGTAAAATTCTGTATGGATTATTCCAGTCCTTTAGCTTTCATCTGCAATTTTAGTTGAGTTTGTGGTTGTTGAAGGAACTCACTTCCAAGATGTGTGTTGCTTCACAGGCCACACTGTATATATCTGATACTTCCGCTACTAAGGACAGGTGGTACTGCATCAACTTGTTGCGATCCTACAGTGAATTTGTGATGGAAACAGCAAAACAGGGCAGCATACAAAATAGATTTTCCTCTTCCTTCAGACTCCAGGAGATAAATATTAATGGAAATCTATATGACTGATTTGTGAGCAGAGAAAAGATTAGCCTGGGCGTCAGGGTTTCGGATTTTAATCTTAAACATGTTAGGCTTTCTGTCACTATGCAGTGTTCTCATTTTTAAGATGCTCCTTACTCCATCTTAAAGTTACCTTTTCTCCTTTCCTGTTTCCCATTGTTTCCCTCCCCACTCTATTTTCAATTTTGAGGTTTAAATGTCTCCTATTTTGAAGTCACAGTGTAATTTATTATTTGCATGAGAGTCTGAATTGCATCTGGCTTTTGTATATCACTTTTACATGGACTAATCCTTTTAAGCTACTCATTAAATGTATGCTTGGGTAACACTTAGCTCGGTGTGTATTCCAAAGTAGCTACCAATGTAAATAACTGCTCAGGGTTATGTAGGTGTAAAATTGGATACTAGGACCCAAAGCAGAGGCTCAAAAGTATGAAGTACCTTCATATTCTGGAGAGAGCTACAAAAATATTGGGCTAAGTGTGTTCTCCAGGACCAAGAGGTGGTTGAACCAACTCTGCTAACTTGAACCAACACCCCAACCCCAGAAACTCCCTGGCTGTCCCAGTTGACATGAGAAAATAACCAGAGAAGGGAAAAGAAGGAAGAAAAACTCAGTGGAGGTGAAATTAACAGCCTGGCAGGGAGGTATTGTTGTCAGTTATTCATGAAACCGACCACTACCCTGTTTAAGTTCTCATGAGCATTTACAAAAACTAATGCAATTGCTTTCCACTTGGCCCCCCACCTTTGCTCCATCTTGTAACCTGCTGCTGCATCACTCTTTCAAAAACCCAGGCTCTTAAGTCAACCTCTGCACAAAAACCTATAGTGTTTCCTCCTTGATAAAAGCCCAAATGTCTTATTCCAACATTCTAAGGACAGCTGCGCTCAGGTACAAACTTATGTTTTCAACCTAATCTCACACTACTCTGCTATGTGCAGCTTAATACATATGATTAGACACGTGTGTATGTCTAAACAGTATGTTAACTTGCCACTGTCCCATGAACATGAACTGTGCAAGACACATTCATATCTTTGCTAATCTCATTTCCCATGCTTGAAATGCTTTTACCTTTATTTCTGGGATGTTTCTCCAGGACTGGCTTCCCTTTTTGTGCTCAAAGATACAAATTTGCAATCATTTGTTTGTAGGCTATTTCACATAGATGTCCTATAGCTATCACCAACACAAGTAAAAACAAATTTATCTCCCTCAACTCACAGACTGGCCTCCCTCTGTGTTTCCCATATAAGTTAACAGAAAAGCATCACACCACTGATAGGTCGATGCTTAGGAGGCATCTTTTCTCATTCTGTTTTACTTACCATCTTATATAGTTAGGCCAACAAATTTTACAAATTCGATTTTAAAATGCTTCTCAGTTCAATTCTCTCCTTCTAAAAGGGACTTTGGATTCTGACAGTAGTGCCTACCCCAAGTGTTACAGTGAGAATTATATGGTATAGGGTATAGACATTGCCTAGCAGAGTGTTTTGAATATACCAGGTCTTCAGTTTTTCTTAGTTCTCTTTCCTCTCCACTGCCTTAAATTAGACCCATGTTTATTTCCAAGTAATACTGAGCCTGTTGGCTGCTAATTTTTTCAACTTTCAATCAGAACTCCTCTTTCCTCTCTCATCCATTTCTCCTCCTTTCCTTTTTCATTTTGTTTTAGAAAGAGTTTATGTCTACTTACCTCTTTATACTCCTTCTTCTTCCAGATAACAATTATTGTTCAGAAATATTTCTTACAAGGCCACTCAAGTAGATTGAGTTTTTGTTCTCAATGCTCTGCCTTCTTCCTGTGTTAGAACTATGCCCCTGTGCTCTTTGCCAAGGTTTCTGCATTGTACCCTGCTGGTGGCTGGAGTAAATTCTCCATCCCATTGATGTTTGCCATGTACTTGCGTGGACAATGGAATAAGTAGTAGTGCCAATGTGGCAGTTATACATCAGGCCTCTGTGCTCCTCTGATCTACTCATCCTTTTGTATTCTTAGACTCTTCTAAAAGAATAACAAGTGCCGAGTGGTTGCAAAACCACAGGTCCAGGAGAAAGATGAAGACTGATGGGGCAACCCTAAATCTTATCCAAAGCTTGGAATCTACCCTAGTTCAATAAAGATCAGGAATGAAATGTCTTTATTTCTTTGTGTCATCTTCACTTTCTTTCAACAATGCCCTACAGTTTTCACTGAACAGATCTTTCACTCCTCGATTAAATTTATTCCTGGGGATTTTATTCTTTTTGTTGTGGTTGTAAATGGAATTGCTTTCTTAATTTCTTTTTGTCATCACTGTATAGAAACAAGAGTTTTTTTTATATATTGTTTTGTACCCTGCAACTTTATTGTATTTTTTATTATTTCTAATATTTTTTTCTGGTGGAGTCTTTAGGGTTTTGTAGATACAAAATCATCCTATCCACAAGAATTGACTGTTTTACTTCTTATTTGCCAATCTGGGTGTCTTTTATTTTTTTCTCTTATCTAATTACTCTGGTTAGGACTTCCAATACTATGCTGAATAAAGACAAGAAGAGTGGGCATCCTGATCTTAGAAGAAAATATTTCAGTTTTTCATCATTGAGTATGTTAGCTGTGTGGAACAACAAGTCATTTGTCCTATATAACCTTTATTGTTTTGAGGTACTTTCCTTCTATAGGGATTTTATTGAGAGTTTTTATTTATCATAAATGGATAATGAATACTGTCAAATGCTTTGTCTGCATCTATTGAAATTATTGTATGAGTTTTATCCTTCATTTTGTTAACATGGTATATCACATTGATTGATTTGCAGATATTGAACCATCTATACATGGATAGTTCAGAATACATTCCATTTGATCTTGGAATATGATTCTTTTAATGTATTGTTGTATTCAATTTACTAATATTTTGTTGAGGATTTTTACATCTCTGTTCATCAGTGATATTAGCCTGTAATTTTCTTCTTTGTGTTGTTCTTGTTTGCTTTTGGTATCATAGTAATGTTGGCCTTTCAAAATGAGTTAGGAAGTGTTCCCTCCTCTTCGATTTTTTGGAAGAGTTTGAGAAGGGTAGGTATTAAATCTTCTTTGAATGCTTGGTAGAATTAAAATGCTCTATTCTTTAAACCACTATATTATAGATGTCTGTATTTCAGCAGCTTAGCCTTTTCTTTAATACAAACAGAATTGAAAACAAGGTAATTTTATGTATAATATTTAAAGGAAGGCCACATTTCTATTTGACAGTACATTGCATTGTCTCTTGCTTTGTGTAGCCACAAGTTTCCACATCCATTGCTGGTAAAGAAACTTCATTTTCTTTAACTGTGTGTGTTGGCATCTTTCTGTTAACCATGTCATCATCCCTTTGTGACAACTAAACAAAGGATAAGAGGGAAAAGTGTAGGAAAACATCAACATTCAAACTTGTACACCTGGGTACATGGTGGTATTACCAGCTGATAAAGAAAAGAGCACAGACTGAGATGGCATTAATAATTTTGAGACAAGTGAAATTAATGATACTTGGAATATCATGTTACATTTGGGGGAGAGTCTGAGGAGACATGTAACTTTGGGGATCATCAGCAGTACAAGTGGGAGTCTTGGTTTCTCCACTCATTAGCTGTGTGGCATTGGGTAAATTATTCAACTATCCTAAGCATCCATTTTCTGAATAGTAATGTGAGAGACAAAAAGGATACTTACCTCTGAGTATTGTCATGGGTAATCAATGAAATAAT